GGGCATAACGTAGCCTCAAAAATCTTTTCCACTTCACGTAACCACTTCTCTGTTGCATCCGGACCCAAATCTCCTCCAAAACGAGGCGGATTATGCCTCATGAACTCGATCGGCCCCATCCGCTTTGATTGGTGATATCCAGCAGAGGATGATGCCATAGTTGGCCTCCACTGCGGGTAGGTAGCCTGCTGCTGCATGACAGCTGCCAACATTTCCATTGCCCTGGCTAGGACATCTACACTCGGTGGAGTAGGAGTAGGAGGTCGCGGTGTCATCCTATATCAAACGCAACCATCAATACAGAGCAAACATTCACGCACTCACAATCAGAGTATAATCACAACGGACTTATCATAGGTTCACTACCCATCCCCACAGATTTACAAGGATACTACCGCTCTGATACCACTATTGTAACGACCCTAGAAATCGCTACTATAATGATGTCTTCGCAAAGTAGTAAACAAGTAAATAACAACATCTATTTTACATTATATTACTGTAATTGTAACATATATTGAAAATCCAGTTCACTAACAGAACTTCAAAATATAGTAACATAATTTATTTATATATTATACATGTAAAAGTAGCTCCCTCGAAGCTATCCCATCGAACTATCCCTGTCGTCCAAGTAGTCACATCACCATCTCTCAACTCCTGATCTCGCTCCCACATAAAAGTGATCATCGCAGTCCCATCCACATGGAAAAATAGGGGTAAGTATTAAATCATTCGATATAATAAAACAGATATAGAAGTAATAATTATATATTATGATCAATTACGAAATTATCAACACACTAAGACACCTTCCGGAAGTATACCCTAACTATGCCCGAACTCGGAGGCTATCATCTCGTGGGCACATTGTGATCGGCACCGCAGTACCATTCCGACCACCCTCCACACAGAGTAGGATTACTGACGCCCTTCATCACTCATACTGGAGTACCCCTCCGAGCGCGCCACCAGTCATCTCCATATCGACTTCTCACCACCTGATCTCGTAGTCTACCTTACCTGACCAATCAGTGAAGTCTGGACCTCATTCAGAATCCTCCGACATAGTTATTACACTAATGTACTCTGTACCACCCCGGGTACCATTCAAACATACAAAATTTATTCACATTTGCCGGATTCTGGACCACCTGTCCTCACGGCTCATTCGGGTCAATAAAAATAGTATTTGACTGATTCTGGCACCAACCTTCTGGCTCAGTCTACCCAATATATAACGTCTCAGGACTGATTCTGGGCATCAACCTTCAGGCTTAGTCTGACCCACACACGTCACAACACTCTACTTTCATTCTCTCTCTCTTTATATATATATATATATATATATATATATATATATATATATATATTTTTTTTTTTTCCTAAAATCATTTCCAAAATCATTTCAAAACTATTTCGAAACTATTTTCGAAATCATTTTTGAAATCATTAAATTACTATTTTTCCCTTAATCTTTTCTTAAAATTCCATGTATGTCCCTAAATGACTATTTTACCCTTGGACATTTTTGAAAATTCCATTTATGTCCCTGTGATGTAAAATGACTAGTTTATCCTTGATCTTTTTAAAAAATCCCCACCATATCCCTTTC